TTGAGGTGAGGTGAGGATTAAACTGAAATACTTTATATCTGATCAGAGTACCTGACAATAGAATTTAAATAAAAACATTAGTGTTAAAATGTTATTAAAATGCAAAGTGTTATATTCTTATTTCTTTTAGTTCAAAGGCACTTGGAATGGGCTGAGGAGAAGCCACTAAATATTGTTTTAAATACTTTGTTTACCTTCACTCATTTGGATTATCGGTGTCAGATGAGTTCTGGTATAGCCACAGTTAATAGAATCTACAATCTTACCATATTAAGGATTTTTAGATGATAGAGATTGGCCTTCATGACTTTGTCATATTTGAAATGTTACTGTCTTTCTAAGCATCTATCAATGTCATGGCGTGAAGTGGGCCAGTAAATGCATGCTGGGCATGCCTTATGTTCATGTGAGATGTAGCACTGATTTTAACAACTTTTTTTCTTTAGCTCAAAACATTTTAACCTTTTCTTGTAAATTTCTGGTGCAGTTTAAAACAGTCAGCTACCAACTCATTTTTTAGATCAAATGCTAGTCTGAAATCTTAAGGTAACACACAAAGAAAATGGTTACCCACAAGCAGCTATCAGCTTGATGCCTTGTCTTTAAGATGGAAATTCCTTCTTCATTTTACTGCATTGTCCTAATTTCTTCTGTTTGCTCATTGCCTCTTCAAGGGGTCCTTTGTGCTTCATTATTGTTCTTTATGATGTTGTCCCCAGCTAAATTTCTTCCACTTGCCTTAGGCTTTTCTTGTACTCTGGATCTCCCATTATTTTTATTGTCCACCAACTACTGTTTCTGCATACTGATGAAAAGGGGCTCCTGCCTCCTCCTGCTGCTGGCTGCCCCTGCAAGGAACGTAGCACTCACACCGTGGTGCATGTCTGTGGTGAATTCTGATTAGTTGTTTGCACAGACATCCTCTTTTCTCATAGAAGGCACTGTGTAGAGTGATCTGAGGTTCTCTCCACCCTGGGAGAGGTTTTCATTTGTCTGGATGTGTGCATGTGTATTTGTGCACACAAAATGTAATCTGTTTAGTGAAATATCTGTCTTAAATTATGGCAATTTGCATTACTTAAACCATTTGTTGGATAAGCTTAATTTTTTCTATTTTTTTAAATTACATATATACAAAAAACTTCAACATCTTGGTATTCTGTTGCTTTTGTGGTCTCTGAGCTTTTATTCAATCAGCAGAGACTGTGCTATTAGTGAACCCTGGATCAAAAGGATGCATTGAACCCCAGTGACTTGTGAATACTCCATTTACTCATATACCGTACTTGCTTCCCTAAGCCCAGTTTGCTTAGTGATGACCACATCCACCTGTATCCTTCACTTTAAATTAAGGAGATACTGGACTTAGTAGGAAGAGAGCAGAGTGGGAAGATGAGGAACTGGGAGTGTGGTACTGAATAGTTTTTTCAACTGCCAGTGCTTCTGTAAGTACAAATAATTATAAACTGTTTAAAAGTTTTTCTCAGAATTTTAAGTGATTTCTTTATAATTAGGTTCATTTATGAGTACATGACTTTTGATGGAATGTGGTTTAAAGAAAAGAATATAGTCACTAGTGTAGGGGTCATAAGACTGTTCTAGTGCAGGTTTTTTACTACTGAACTGGGGAAGTGACATTGAGCAAGTCTTTTAATTTCTCTGTGCCCTGGTTTCTGTGACTGGAGATAATGGAAGGAGATGCCCTTCCCACATTTCATGGGGACAAATATAACATGTAAACAGTTGTTTAAAAATGTCCAGGAAGCATCTGATGTTTATAATGATGAAAATCAAAAATATAACACCTTTCAAATGAATTGAAACAGTTTGTTTTAAAGACTATCTTAGCAAGCCAAATGTAGTAAGCCATATTAGCAAAAATTGTAATTCATTGGGAACTGAATTTGCAGGGCTGAGTTTTCTTTTAGGTTAAAGTTTTGTTTTTCAACAATTCTGTGACTGCTTAGCTTTTGTAAAAACAAGGAAAATTGATGGTGAAATCCATCATCTTAGGGGATCTTATGGGTCGCAAACTGGAGTAAAGAGAAAAGAGGGCAAGTATGTTGTAGATGTGAGAGCAGAGGGTCACCTGTGTCTGTCATGAGGCTGGATAGAGGGAAACCTTGGTCAGGCTTGGAAGAAAGTTCTTACCTTGGGTTTTTGGAGCTAAGAGAAAAATTTCCCAAGTCACTTGAAAATAGTGTCAGCCTTGCTACAAAGATCGCTGTCCCTAAGCAGACACTCCTCTGTCTCATTCTAAAGGATTCCAAAGTCCTTTGGACTTACATTGTAAGTTGACTTACAAGGCAGCTCCACTAACTGTGGTTGGTGATTGCAATCCACCCCACCCACACATACACAATTTTATTAAAACTAGTTTTGTACTGTATATTTGTGTATACATTGTCTTAAGCATGTTTCTAAGCATATGCTTGTAAGCATAGAAAATGTATAGTAGGGACTTTTATTGTGGTGAAATATATGTAACATAAAAGATTTGAACCAGTTTTAAGTGTACAGTTTAGTCGCATTAAATACATTTTGTGCAACCATCACCATCATCCATGGTAGGGAACTTTTATTCATTTTTGCATGGTTTACATCTTTTATAAGAATAAGTTGCTTTTATAGTAAAAATAGAATAAAGCTTTGCTGTAGTTCTGTCTGACGTGAGACAAGTTTAATGTTTTTTGCCATCAGTAAATTAGGATAATTGATAGTACCTGTGTCACAGTATCGTTACAAAGACTAAACAAGTATATGTTATGTGTTTATGTGTGTGTGCATTTTTTCAGGCTTGGCATAAAATAAGCACTATACTAAGTGTTGCCTGTTATTTTTATTAGTCACATATGTGATCTTAAGTGTATGAAGAGTAAAATAAGATTTCAAAAACAAAGCGCTCTCAGTTGTACAGATTAGTTAATGTACTCCTAGATACTGAATAGGGCTTAGATTCGAAAGTATAAATAAGTTAATATTCTGAGTAGAGCATATTATACTACTTAAGACTTAAAATTTCTGAAAGATGTACAGTTTATAAAAGTAATAACATTATTTGCTGTATTAGAGGAACCTCTTGGTTCTCACACAGTGTGTCCTTGGCTCACTGGTCTTCTGTAGACTAGATGGACATGACCTGTGGTAAAAATCAATTGATAGTATTATCTCAATTCACCAAAAAAGTTAATAATAATAGTATTTTCTCATGTTTAAGGGTTTTTATTTTCATAAATTTGTCCTAATTGTTAATGTCTGCTATTACTTGAAAAAGAAAAAATTAACTGTGAAACTGGACATAGTTACCTATACTCAATTTGTCAGCTTTTTCTTTTTTTACTTTTGTTCTACTTGGTTGTAGTTTTATTTTGGAGGACATATACTTCTGTTTATGAGTTAAAATTGCATAAAAATAATATAGTCATATTTCCTGCTAAAAAATTGCTTCCTCGTTGAATGTGCCTCTGCGATGAGGATGTTTCCGTACCCCGCAACTCTATAGCTATGGGTTAAAGCTTACATGTCATTGGGTTGAGTTTATTTACTGAGCTGTTGTAGATACCACAGAGATGTTCCTTTAGTTGTGTTTTTAATCTAGAATACCTTGTCTTTTTAAAATATTTTATTTCTGGTTCATATTTACATGAATATGTACATCATGTAAATAGAATGTGGAATGGACTGGACAGCATTAAACAAATCTTTTTTTATAAGAGTTTGAGCCAAATTGACAATATGCTGGGGAGCAAGATCTCAAATGCCCCGTTGAACAGTTCTTTAAAGAGGTCTAACCTCAAAAATGCATGTTGCTATTTGAAAGGGTTAGAGATGAAAAAAAATTACTTTCACATATGATTCATATTTGAATTCTTTTGACATATTTGTGTCTTAGCTTAAAATTCTGTATATTATAAATTAGTAATAATCTATGATTATTTTATTTGCCTCACCTTTAACTTGTCCATAGTGAGGGATAGAGATATGTGTAATGCATACACATGTGCAGTAAATGTACTTTTTATGATTCCAGTAATGTGCTGTTGCTTAATTGATTGAAAAATATTTGCAGTTGATCTCTAACAAACTAGCTTTTTGTAGGTTTCACACACTCTTTTATAAATTAAGTAGTAAAAAATATTTTATTGTGACCATTTATTAATTGAAATTAATGATAATTTGTAATTCACTGAAACTTAAACAGGGAAATAAAGATACCAATTTCTGTAGTTGTACTTAAAAAAAGAAATCTGTGAGTTTCTGTAGGTTGTGGTAGAAATACCCAGCTTGTAGTAGACTTTCCATTAAATTTGTCAAATATTTGAGTACCTTGTCCATGCAAGATAGCCCATTCATCGCTGAAGTTTTAAAAGACAACCGATTTGCCTTTGAGGAGTGTATGGTAAATCAGATCAAATAAGATTATAAATTGTTAAACTAGAAGCTCAATTAGGATATGTCCCAAGAGATTGGAGTTGTGATGATGGCTCTGAACTGTTATTTGGTTTTGGCCACAGAAAACCGGACTGTGTGCGATGTTCCATGTTGTGGAATACCATGCTCGCAAATTCTCCACTGCACCCCACTCCACCTCCTACCCCTTGAACTTTGTAAATTCTGCACTAATGGAAAAAGATGATACAAAATAAACTTTAAAAAAATTTTTTTGACTTGTAGGATAAATAGGAAGCTGAAGTGGGATGTTGACACTCTCTATCAGAGCTCCTTTCCCAGTTCATTAGCTTGGTACTGCCATCACTGAAGGTGCCTGTGCGTGGATAAAGAAACAGTTTATTTCAGAGGTTTCTGATATCTCCTATAGAATCAGTTTACATAGTGTATGTTTTATTTCTATCCAGCTTTTTTTTCTTATTATAACTTTAAAATTCAGCATTTTAAATTCAGACATTTTAAATCATCAAAATTTACTTCCAAGGTAGGTAAACATGGTATGAAGTCATATCCAAAACACTCCCTCAAACACACATTTATGTTCTTTTCAGATGGCCCTGCCGAGGCACCAGTGACCAATGGGAACACCACAACGGTGCCAGCCCTCAGTGATGACCTGGACATCTTTGGACCAATGATTTCTAATCCTTTACCTGCAACTGTCATGCCCCCAGCTCAGGTATGTGGTAAGAATGTGGTTTTACATGATCACCCTTATTTCTTTTTTGAAAAGTTAAGGAATTTCAATTTTGAAAGAATTGTTTCTGAGCAGTTGCTAATCGGAAAGTGCTGGCCAGAGATTGGCAAACTAAGCCTGCAGCTCCTTTGCAAATAAAGTTTTATTGGAACACACCCATTCTCATTCATTTACGTGTTTTCTGTGGCTGCTCTCACACTATACAAGCAAGTTTAATAGTTGCAACACACTATATGACCCACAGAGCCTAAATATTCACTGTCTAATGTTTGCTAACTCTTGATTTAGGAACCAGCAGTGTTTAGAATGAATAAGTGAGAAAAGTCAGACAATTTTGACTGAGCCTGAGATCAACAAGCTCAATTACTTGAGAGTTTTTTAAACTTTGGGTGTAAAATTATTGACTAGCATCCAGTAGTTCTTTTCTTATGTTCTACTGAACCACCCCCAAGATGGTGTTTACTTCTGGTTTTAAGAAAACTGAGAATAAGACAATCTAGCAAATTCAGTACTCATATTCTTTTTTATGAAGATAAATTGTTTCACGTTATCCTTAAAACCTATCTTGACCTACCTTACCTTTTTTATTTTAACAATTTTTCAAAAACTATTTAGAACATAATATTAATGATCAGGATTTTTAAAAAAATGTTAATGGTAAAGAAATTTTGAATTGCTTTCTGAACATTAAATGGAATTTCTTCTTTTTGCCTTTATTCCTTTTTTAATTGCAAATTGTTTAATACTTTAAATACTTTTTCATAGTTATTGAGGTATAACTGACAAAAGTGTAATAATATTTAAAGTGTATAATGTGATTCGATATACACATACACTGTGAAAGGATTCCAACCATCAAGTTAATTAACACATCCATCACCTCATGTAATTTACTTTTTTTTTTCTTGGTGAGAGTACAAGTTCTCAGCAAATATTAATTATACAATATAGTATAATCAGCTATAGTCACCAAATTATGTCATACATTAGATCCTCAGACCTTACTCATCTCATAACTAAAAGTTTTTGCCCATTTACCAAGCTCCCTGTATTTCCTCTACCCCAGCCCCTGCAGCCACCATTCTGCTGTTTCTATGAGTTCTACTCTTTTTTTGATTCCACATATAAGTGATACTCCATGCAGTCATGCACTATTTGTCTTTCTTTAAGGCAAAACAGATGAACTTTCAGGAATATGGATTACTCTTAAGCATACAACTTTAAGATTCTATTTTAAATTCATACTTTACCAGTAAACAACCAGTTTTGGTACAGCATAATTTTCGAGGTAAAATATTTCCTTTTTCTAGAAAAACTGAACAGAATGAGAACTGTTTGGATGGAAAGCTTTATTAAGACTAATTACATATTTTTTTCTTACACATATTGTTATTTTGATAGTCATTGTATAATCAGAATTGAGCAAATAGATTTCCGAGGAATAATTAGTTTAAATGGCTCCGTATCAAAATTGTCTGCAGCATTGTTTTAGAAAAGAGCTTTATGACTTGTCCCCTTCTCCCCCACCCCCAACATAACAAGAGAGACTAAATGTTGCCACTGTTATTTCAGTTAACATTAATTACCTTGTGAATTTGTGCAGACATGGGTATGCATGTGATATTGTAGCTTTAGAAGCATTTAGGATATTTGACAATCTGAGCATGAAAAGCACTTTTGGTCTAGCATTCTAGTGAGGCTGCTTTATCTGCTAAACTTCTTTAGATTACATGGGGTATGAGAGTCGCTTTGCAACTCCTTGGGTAATTAGACCCCACATTTGAGGCTTGTGTACTTCACGTGTTCTGTTCAGTCTCAAAGCAGCGAGTAGAACAATGCCGTCTTAAGTAGTGCCATGACAAGGAATATGGGCGTGTATAGCTTTTGCCTTTATGAGGGGTTGTTCTGGCCTTCATGCTTTGGTCATTCCTCATTAGTAACTGTTAGAATAACAGGGCAAATTTTTTTAATTACACTTAATTCTTTTGTTTGAACATGGGTTTTGAACCAAAATAGTGCCCATTTTATTGAGCCCTGTAACATATCTGAATTCTTTCATCTAAACATCATGTAAAGATTAAAATCCAGACATGTTTTCAAAATAATGTCTTTGAAAACGGGAAGGGAAGGTAGGTTAAAATGCACATTTTATGCATACACTATACTCTAATTTTGGTGGATTTTTATTACGTGAAATTGGTTGGACACCAATAGGACGAGTATGAGACTACAGTAATAGCTTTCCCAACCATGTTGAATTTTCTTGTAGTTATATCTCTTCTACAGAGAACAGACCTCAGAGGTTTTGAGCAAGTTCTTGGACTGAACAGAAACTAAACCACTTAGTGAGGTGGTTGCTTCGTTATCTAACAGCATTAACAATAAATACTGTGTGCTTAACTCTGCCATTGTATAAAGCACTTCTTGTAGATATAAAGTATAAGGTGGGTAATCTTATCCTCATTTTATAGAAGAAAGACAGTGAAGAGGTTACGTGAATGTCTAAGGGCCCACACTATAGTAAATAGTGACTCCAGAGCCCGCGCTTGTAGCCTCTGTAATCTTTGTTTCTTCATTGGTAGTTCAGATATATTTTATCCAAGTGCATTGTTATATTTGACATTCCATCATGTCCAGTTTTACACATTTCAGATCTTTTGCAAAATTAAGTGGCTTTATTAAAATTCTTAATTTAATTCATAATAGATTCAAAATATTGTTCTGGTTTGTGAGTACAATACTTGGATGGTAATTTATTGCAAGACATTTTAGCAAAGTGTTAATGTTTGAAATTTTTAAAAGTTCAAGGTAGATTATATACATGATCTTTAATTATTTTCTACTCACCTTATTCTACAGTTTGAGAAGACTCTTATCCAGTTTTTACTGTCTTCATAGAATTCTTTGAAACTCATATCTAAAACAATTCCACATAAACAATTGTGAATGTGATTGAATATTTAATGACCACAGAGATCGTTAATCAGTTATGATTGTGTAATACTATCTGTGTGCAAGATAGAGGAAATTAAGTGAAAATTGTTTGTTTTATATTAAATATCAATGTTTATTTCAGTTTGTGTACATTTGCCCCTTGTTCAGAAGTGGAATACAAGACAAGGTTGAGAGTATAGGTGGTTGAAATTTTGCTGTACTTCATTTCTGGTAGACTAAAAGCATTCTAAGGTTGTGGTTAAAACTGATCTAGATTAGGTTTATAAGAATATTACAATGCAGCTTTTGGAAAACACAATATTTTCTTTAAAGACAAAAACAGCCTTTGCAGGACCTTCTTACAGTCTGCTGTAGTTAGAAATGCTCTTTATTCCAAGAGATACCAGTAGTTGCTGAGACACACCTGAGCATTTCCCAGGAATGGTAGTCCTCAGACAGCAGCCACATACCCAACCTGTTGTTGAACCCTTGTGTTCAGGATGTGATGGGCAAAATCTCAGCATCAGCCTAGCAGGTGAATACAATTTATTATGACAGAGCTTCAGTCTACCTCTTCTACAGTAACAAATTCAAGATAGGAAGCATTGTACCTTTATCCCAGGTGTTTTTGTGTGGGCTTGTGAATGATCCTCTTTAATGTCACCATTTTACCTTCTACAGTTAATTTGTCTAATTTCATAACTTCATTTGGAGTTTAATGGATGGGCCATGTTTTAGTATGCAGAATTTGGTAACATGTTTTGGTGTTTGTCTCAGGGGACGTCCTCTGTACCAGCAGCTGCCACTCTGTCTACAGTAACATCTGGGGATCTGGATCTGTTCACTGAGCCAACTACAAAGTCAGAAGAGGTAGCAAAGAAACAACTCTCCAAAGACTCCATCTTATCTCTGTACGGTGCAGGAACCATTCAGCAGCAGAGTACTCCTGGTAATTCATTTTGAAATCTGTTTTCAGTGAATTGCAATGTCATTACTAGAAGTATATCCTTTGTGCTTATAATATGAATTATATTTCTCCCCTTTTTTATATGAAAAGGGTGCTTTTGTTGCAGTTTACACAACTACAAACTGACATGAATGAAGCATTAGAATTAAAAAGCAGATATAGGATTCACAAAACTTTATTCTTTTAGAATTAACAAGGTGTTCACATATCACTTAATATTGTTTTACAGGCTTATAGAACATAGTTTTGAAGTTATTTAAATTTGATTTGCATGAAGTTTATAACTGTACAGTATATTTTCTCTGCAGGTAAACAATACACAGTCTGAATTATCACATGAATTCCAAAAATGGTTTGAGGTTTTTAAAATAATTATAATGAAATACTAGCACAGTAAGATTTATTGTTTACATAGTTTTAATCTGTCTGATCATTTCCCTTAAAATAATGAGCTTCATCTCACACATGAGCTGAAATTATGACATCCCAGCTGCTTCCATTAAAGCTGTACATAGTGAACTCTCACCTGTGTGTTTGGGAGTGGGAGACAGTGGTGCAAGTCAGCAGAAACAGCACGTAATCTCATGCTACATAGTTCGGTCTTCACAATGGATATTTTATGTAGCTATTACAAGATTTATTTATTCTAATTAAGAGCTCAGGTTCATAACTGATTTGTGTGCATGCATTCTGGAAGTAACCAGCTCTGAGATTGTAGGTGTGAGTTGGTCTGAGCAGTAGGAGCAGCCAGACGAGAATTAAATTTTTACTATGGGTAGTCCAGAAAGCCGGTAATCCTTTTTCTGTGGTTGTAGAGGTGATTGCAGCTATAAACAATAGTCATTCTTTTAGTTCATTTTCTTTTCATGCTTCTTATGATGCAGGTGTGTTTATGGGACCCACAAATATACCATTTACCTCACAAGCCCCGACTGCATTTCAAGGTTTTCCATCAGTGGGTGTACCTGTGCCTGCAGCTCCTGGCCTTATAGGAAATGTGATGGGACAGAGTGCAAGCATGATGGTCGGTATGCCCATGCCCAACGGGTTTATGGGAAATGCACAAACTGGTGTGATGCCACTGCCTCAAAATGTGATTGGCCCCCAAGGAGGAATGGTAGGACAGATGGGTGCAACCCAGAGTAAATTTGGCCTGCCGCAAGCCCAACAGCCCCAGTGGAATCTCTCGCAGGTAGGGGTTATTTACTCTCCACCTTACTAAAAATCATTTTCTAAATCGTTTTAATTTGTATTTAAATTTGGCAGAATTGAGTAGGGATAATGTTGTATAAGGTCAAAATTGTCTATCATGAAATTATATCAAATAGAAAAATTAAGCTATCATTTTCTCTAGATTTATTCTGTAAAGAAATGTTAAGCATTTAAATTTCAGATTATAAATACTATAATGGTGAACATCCCTAATCTGTTTGTAATAGCTAGAAATTATCTTGGGTGTCTTAGGAGATTCCGTCTGCCACATTTGAAACTGGCAGCAAGTTTAAGCCAGCTCACTGGCGGAGTGTTGTTTTATAGTCCACTTAGACCAGGCAACGTGTCTTCACTAATTGTTTTGTAACGTTCACAAATTGGATAAAAATCCAGTACCATATACTCAAAGCACTGTCTTGTGAGGCTGTTCTCTGTGTCCTATGGCTACTGCCCATGATTAAAAAAAAAATCTTTCAAAAACCTTTGTAAAGTTTGTACTTATCTTATAAATACGACTATGTTAAAAAGACTACCCACTAGTTCAAGAATTCCCATAAGATGATAGGAACAAGTCCATATGTCTCAGATATCCCTTCATATTATAAAAATTCTATTTCTAAGTTAGTTTAGAGCCGAAAGATGACATTTTAGTTTGCCTCTTTCAAATCCATTTCTATTTTAGATGTGCTGTTCTGACTTTTTTATGGCTTCATAGAAAGGCCCTTAGAATTGGGTTCATGGTCCTGCTCCTCTTCCCTTTACATCTCCTATTTGATGTTCCTCTAACATTTGGTGATCTTGGCTTCTGTTCTGGATAGCTCTTTTACCTTGAGAGCATTCAAAGAATAGTCTGTAATGATTTCTAACTAACTTTAGCAAAATCACTATATGTCTCATGTTTGCTCCAAGTTTTTACTGTCACTATTTAAAGGAATAACTCTATAACATTGGTCTCTACTCTCTGGGAATCTCAAAAACATTAAGTACCAGATGGCATTAACAGCTTTTGTGAGTTGATATGGTGAAGCACACCCAACTCAGGTTAAGGTGCTAGATGGACCAGTCAGGAGTTAATGCTGGTCCTTACTTCTAGGCATGCTGATGCTGTTCTCCAGCACTCCCTCCATAGGATCTTTTGGCCAGTGACAGGTGGTTAAACTATCCTTTAGTAGGTATCAGAAGTGATCTGCTCCTGCAGATGCTTACGTTTCATCAGTGATATGATTAACATCATTGTCTTTGAAAAATGAATGAACTTTATTAAGAATACAATCCAACCCTGAGCATAGCTTTTGAATCTACTCTGTACTTTGTGGTAAATCCTCTTGCCTTTTCATCACCTGTCATCAGTCTTAGAGGTATGAGAACTACAGGAAAAGGGTTAAGATGCTTATATACATGTATTATTCCAGTCTGGAGGGAAAAAGCATTTATCTTATACCTTAGATCATACAATAAAATTAATTTTGGATGTTTATGTGGTTAGCTAAGCAAAAGAAATATGTATGCTTTATGACTTTTAATATTTAGAAAGTACATATGGCCATTTAAGACTTTAATAAAGGCAGAATAGCAGCTATTATGCACAATTCATAATTTTTGAATATTTATACTTTCTAAAATTTCCTTAGTCTTTAGTAGTTAAAGCACTATAAATAGTCGAAAATTAGAATATACTCATATAGTTGGAAGTTAAAATAGTGGACTCATCATATACCTAAATTAGAATTCAAAGATTGCTGTGGTACTTTTTTTTCTGTTTGGGGGTAAGAAATTGAGTCTAGAATATGAATATGATTGAGATCACTTCATGAACAGTGCTACAAAGTAGAAGGAAACAAAGAACAAGAAGAGAACAGAGTAGCTTCAGAGTTTGCTTTCTGAAGAGAAATAATTATATGGTGGTCTGCTTTTACCCCAGGGCTTTGACTGATTTTCTCATTGATAAAAAATACTATTTATAGTAATTGCTATGAAACCTCAGTATCTCTTTGAATCACTTCAAAAAGGCAGCTAATAAAACAGGGTAACTATTAAAAATGTCTAACTGTGGTTACAGGAAAAAATTAAGAGCTTAAACTAAGCCTTTTATATATATTCATATGTTTCACAGATGAATCAGCAAATGGCTGGCGTGAGTATCAGCAGTGCGAACCCCACGGTGGGTTTTGGCCAGGCCCCCAGCACAGCAGCAGGATGGCCCGGAAGCGCCTCGGGTCAGACTCTCAGCACACAGCTGTGGAAGTGAACACTGCACTGCAAGTTTCATCCAGAACTACCACCTGACATTCCTTGCTAAAATGCATCTAGTTCCCCTGTTTGTTCATGTACATAATTTTTTTTTCCCCATTTGTTCATATTAAGAATTATCTGATTGACCGTGTTGGTCTGTGCTGATTAAATCTAATGTGGTGAAAAACAGGTTGAAAAACCATTTTATGTCCAGGGCAGCTTTGCTCATATTTCCCATGACTTCATAAGCCACATTATTTGAGAAGCTGCTCAGTCAACTTGCATAATCAGTTTTACTCTCAGTAAAATTATAGGTCTAATATTTGCATATAAGGGAAATAGTTATCATGTTAGTAATACCTCTAACAGTATAAACCCCATCCTCAAATTAGCCAGTAATCCCGTAGGAAGGTACTGTATGATCAAATGTTTTAATCATATAAATAGAATGTAAATGTATCACTGAGCACTGTTTTCTAGTGTATCAAAATTCTTTTATTTCATCGTTCACTTCACTGTGCTGTTGTTATGATGTGCTTAACAGGGAACGTGGTTAGTGAAAGGAATATAAACCTGGATGTTACTATAAAATTTAGCTTAACAGATATTTAAAGAATTCAAATTCTATCTGCCTCTCGTAATTTGGATCTCTTCTTATGTACATAGTGCTAACATGAAGACCTTTCTCTGCACTATATGCAAACAGGGTAACTAAATAAACAAAGCCACTTTGAATCCTTGAAGGTATATCCAGGTTTATGACGGTAATTGTGTTTACATTTTATGGTGCCTAGTATTGACAAAATGTTCTATCCCTATATTAAACAGATGAATCCACAGCCCTTTTTTTTGTGGGTTTTATTTCCTACAATGTATACTGCCACCTTACAAAAATTACTTAACGTTGCAAAGTTAAGAATCGGGGATATTTAGTTGACAAAATACCTGTCATCTGTTTCTAAAACCTGTTCAGTTCTGCCAATTATAAGACCAAATGGGAAAAAAAAAAAGTATATGAGATACTCAGAATGGTACATTGCAGTGTCATTAGCTGTACTGTACAAAGATCTTCCAGTTTAGTTGTGGAGAAAACATGCAGAACAAATGAAGACAAAAACATTTCATATCATCATCCAGCTAGTTTGTTAACTGACAAGCTCTGTTTAAATAGATGTCCATCAGATGTCAATAAAGGCTGTTGTACTGAAGTAAAATGAACAGTACCTGAATGGTCTGCAGCCTAACCTCCAAACGTCCATGTCCTCCGGCCAGGCAAACTGCACCGCTGCTGCTTCTGCTTACACCTCGATCTTCACTGTGTCAAGGTGGTACTTTGGCTCATTGGCTAGATTAACCTTCTCTGTCCGAGTGTGCCACACAAGAACCTAAAGGGGAGGGAAATCTTTTGGGTAGCCAGACCATTAACTCTGACACTCAATGAGATCAAGCATTATAAGTGAAACATACCTTGGTGCAGTTATTTGCTTTTGGTTCTAGTTCTTCAACTGTCGTTATCTGTTTTAGAAAGTCAGATTCTTGCATCCCTGGCTGGGATCCACGGCGCTTAAATACAGCTTTTGGATTGGACAAGATGACTTGAAGGCTTACAGCAAACCCTTTGTGAGAAGTTAAAAAAAAACTAAAGTAAAATATTGGTGTACTTCTCGTTTTTCTCCATAATTTTGGTCACATCAAAAACAATTTTTTATATGCTTACTATGTGCCAGGTCTTGGTTTACAAAGTTGAATAGGAACATTACCTGACCAGCCTCAAAAAGAAAACCAATCATTATAGTGTAGTGTATTCAGTGCCATGGCAGAAGTGTGTGCACAGGGGGGAGGGAGGCATCTGCCTTATAAAGTCTGGTCTGTTAATAATAAAGGGTGAATTCTGTAAGCTGCTGTGTCACAGAGGTAATCATACCCCCAACCCCCTACATTTGACACTCTGGGAACAACTAAGACTTAAATGTAGCTGAAGAGCGTACAGACTTACCCTGACTCTCCTTGAGGTATGTGAGAGCCTGCCCATTTTGCCTGTACTTTAACATCTTTTTGTATGCTTTATCAAAACCTGCTCTTGATTCTACTTTGAGTTCAGAAGACTAAGGACTAGAAGTCAGCTAGTACATGAATAAAAATAATCATTTGGTTTAAATTTCCAATTTGGTTCAGTGAAGATACCAGGCCATTTAATGAATTTGTATTTTACTTTTCAAGGAAACAAATTAGTGTCAGTTTCCTTCAACAGTTTGGTCATATGAAAACTCATTACTATTTAATCTGTAGTTAAAGGCTTAGTCATTAAACATTCTACAAGCCATTTCAGCAAATAATTGTTACAACCTTTGGAATTGAAAGTCTGAAGCCCTGGACCACTGCTCTTAATGGTTAAGCAGACACTGTAAAGTTAGGCACCCTCCCAGAGTTAAAGCTGCGAAGACCAATCCCCAGGAACATAGCAAATTTTGCCCTTTTCTACATTAACTGATTTCTGCTGCTTTTTGCAAAAGTACAGTTAGTAAAGTTAAGTATCATGTGATACCAGGCAGGAATGGGCGAGCTGTGAGAAAGCCACAACTGTGTTCTCGTAACATTCTGATGCTGGGCCCAGTATCTTCCACTAATCCTAGAGGAAGGCAGCACATTCCAGAACACTGAATCTGGAATTAGAAGCCTTTTGTTCTTGCCTGGGTCGAGTCACTTAACCTTTCTTGATTCTGAAACTTCCCTATTGCCTCATCTGCAAGGGGTGTGATACCTTCTCAACTCTATGTCTGATGTAACATTAGTGAATGGAAAGACTCCACTAACTGCAAAGCACTTTTCAAAAAATGCAGTATATAAGTAAAAATGCCATTATAAAGTTATTATGAGGGACAGGTGGTATTAGCCACCATTTATGACCGGAAAATAGTGTTGACGGGAAAAGGGTTTGTGAAAGTTCTGGGTGGCAGAACCAGGCCACCTGCATTTCCCACCACTTTGCTAACAAGTCTGAAGCCTCCTCAGACGTACCTAGAACAGCCACAGGCCTCAACAAAAAGCCAAAGGTTCAAATTAACAAAAAAAAAAGTGACTTTTCTCATTAGTCAACTCAGATTTTAGTATTAGATTCCACGCTTTTTTCCATGTGCTTATAAATAAGCTTCATCCTTTCTTAGCTGAGAAATCTGCCCTTCTCAACCACACTGAAACTGCTGGTATATTTCTCACATGGCTTCAAGGTACTGATTGTATTTCCCCATTCTAATAAAAATATGGCACCCAAATTGTGCAGAAGTCATTCTGAAAATGATATGAAGCCACTTTGATCTAATTCCCTTCATGTTCCCCTAAGACTTTAACAGTCATCATCATGACCACTCAAGGATTCAGATTAAGAGTATTGCTTTCCTTGGCTTAGGAATGTCCTTCTAGCTCTTAGAGCAGTCATATGGCAAAATCTATAATTTAAAGCAAAGCTGACAGCCAGTTGTGAAGCTAATCATGGTTTGCTACAAGGTCCCTTTCTGGCCTCACTAGACAATGGGGTGCACTTGGAAGGCCAATACCCCAAAGAGATTTCAGTGGGTGGCTCACCATAGCAGCAAAGAAGTTTTCTAATAAAAAGGGGAGGGGGCCAGTTCACATGTGCTTCACTGTTACTTCCATTTTCTTTGCTATGCCCCAGCCATACCCCAGCTCAGTGAGCTCTTCAAAGGAGGCAAATCATAGCCTGCAGGAAGGAACCACATGCTAACTAGGCCAAGTCCTGGGGTGCCCTGGGGAATCATCTGACCTATTGTGAGGCCTAGGAGTTAGAGTTCTCCCTCTGAAAGTGGGACAAGGAGATTTTGGCTCTTAACCATGGATATCGGGTTTTCTTCATTTCCAAGTATTTATTCCTCAAGGATTACATACACTCTTCTCTTCCTTTTTTAGTGAAATTAATTTAGCTTTAAAGATGTTTGCAGTGACTTTTGAGATACAAGGAAGAGAAGCCTTACAAAAATCATAGGAGTAAAACTGCCCCGGTCTATTGTGTAAAAAAATAAAATGCAAGTAAAAACTGGTTCTCCACTGGGAACACAGGATTTCCTTCCTGACTTCTTTAAGTAAAGTAGGGTGGGGTA